AGAGTAGAGTGAAATAGAGAAGATTAGACTGTACTGTAGCAGAGATTAGAGAAGAGTACAGTACAGTATAGTAGCATAGAGTAGAGTAGAGTACTGTAGTGTGGCGCAGAGTAGAATAGCAGAGTAGTGCAGTACAGTACAGTATTTACAGGGCTACATGGAGGCAGTAGAGGCACAGAAACTCTACTGAAAATTTCGAGAATTTTTGGGACACATTTGACGTCAGAAGGGCTTGGGGTTGTCTCTGTCGTTTATCTTCGAGAAATACAAAAAAATCAGACAAACCCTACAGTTAACTCCATGACACTGTGTCATAACAGAGTTGGTCTGAATAATCTGGCCAAAGAATTTTGTTGTAAGGAAACTGTGTGATGCATACATACTGCAGTCTATTTGCACTCAGTGTATGAAGATGGACATGTTGAGGTCCAATTACCAGATGTTTTCTCTCCTTGTTCACTGTTCTTCGTTAAGTGTCTCTTGGTGGTCCTCTTCAGCATTTGCCTTCGGGTGCCATGTTAATACTTTACTTTGCCTGTTGAAGCAATTTGGTTGTTAGATCAAAGTTCCATCTCACCAAAGCGTTTGCAGAATGCTGGAAATTTGCAGTCATCCTTATATGCATGTCAGCCTTATATCCATCAACAGTTCACAACTGCATTAAATGGCATTATTTCAACGTTCTGGCAACTAAGCGATCAGATGTACATTGTAAAATAAGAGACTTGATTCGTGATTAAAATCTGCCTTGAATGAGAACTTTAAGAGAGAAATTTTTTTACTAGCTTTGTTATTTTGTTGTATCAGGTGAACGATAATGATGATGATGTCGATGAATGGAATACCAAAGAAAACCAAAGAAAACCAAAGAATATTCAGTCCATCCTGGACAGTTTGTATTTCAGAACAAGTTTGAAGTCTTAACTGTATCAGAAAAAAGGGCTTGACGACAATGGCTTGGCAACATCTCTGATCATGCGTGAAACTGAATCACAACTCCCCTTTGATAGCCTCCTCAAGGCCTTCAATGTGATTCCAAATTGCTAACATCATGCTTTACCATAAATTATATCTGCCTTTTCTTACACTGTACAGCTGTGAAAGGATATGCAGCAGTGGGGTGCCAGAGCAAGCCAGCTAGGTACCTTGTGCACATTTTTGCCATCTAAGTCACCTACACAAATTAAAGTGTCCCTATGAATGACACTTTTTAGTTGCAGTTATACAACATACAAATAAGTTTTTCTTCATTTGTAATTGTAATTGTAATTTTTGATACATATTTGTAACATAAAAGAGACTTTTTTGATTCATGATTAAAACCCGCCTTGAGAACTTTAAGAGTGAGAGACGTTTTCTTTACTAGCTTTGTTGTTTTATTGCAAAAGATGAATGACGATGATGATGATGGGGAGGAAGAGGAGGTAATTAAATTTTAAAAGTACCACTATAAACTAAGCATGCCAAAAGAAACAGCACTGACTCCCCTCAACTAAACTTCCATTTCAATGTCATCACTGTCAAGTAACCAACTGCCACAATGTAATTCCACTGATTCACATTGGCGCACGTTATTTGGCCACCACCACCACAACAATAACTCTTTTTAGTTCAATGGGAACAAAGAACTATGTTTCTGTAACTCCTTTGTCCGTCCTCCATGTGCCTTGTAACATTTCCTTTGACTCACAAGCCATTGGCCTAGTAAAATGCCTTAACACCATCTCATTTTCACCACCTATATTTCAGTCAGCCCACTCTTCATTTGTACCCTGGTCACCCACTACTAACAACTCACTTTTTCAGCTTCATTACCAGTCTCTTTACATACTCCCGCCATTGTCCTTTGACAACAAAACAATTGCCGACCTGGATGAGACCTATCACATTTTGGATGGACAACTCACTAATCAGATTCAAGACATTTGCAAATGCATACAACACCTGTAACCAGTATCAACTTCAAAAGTCACCAATGTTTTAGCCTTCACAGCCTTTGCTTTAACTTAAATTCATTGTACTCTTTTTCTTTTTCTTTACTTTTAACTACAGCGTAATGGCATGGTACAGCTCTAAGGTTCCCACATCCCCACACGCTCTCAAACAAGGTGCCCTTCAGCTTTGCAAACACTATAAGAAATACCTTTGGTCTGAAAGAGACCATTTTGCACACCTTTTGTATTCCCTTTGTCCAACTAGATGTTACCATTATTTCTTCTCTTTTTTGGACTTATAAGACTTTGCTCCCTTTCCTCTTTTCATCACTTTCTATCATACAGACTGTTGCGCATGTTCACTGGCATAGCATCACAAAACAGAAAATGGATCTTTGTTTTTAAAGATTGTTAAGATTTTCTTTGTCTTTGTTTGCAAATTGGACAGTTTTTAACATTGCCAGGGACCGTTTACCCTATGTCATTTTTTCTGTTCAAGGAGGAAGCCCGGCCACCTTCACCTTTGGAACAAACGTTCCATTTGACAAGCCGGACAAAGCCCAAAGTACCTTTCACAACGCCACACGAAATCTTCAGTCTTCCCATGGTTTTGCCAGGGCTTTCCTACGACAGCCGAAAGCTCCGGAGACTACCTTACCACAGAACCTAAGATCCTCTTACTGGTAAAAGGTCACCAGAAAGGAGAGTTACTTCAAGGGCTCATCCCACAAGATGGCATCATGACTAACGTTGACATTCACAATTTTGAGGACTACGGATGTCCTAGTGCCTACTTGCTGGTCGGTTACCGCTCGTCCACCAGTGCTCATGCCGCCGTTTTTTCCGCCTGGCTTTGCGGCAGATATCAGACACATAGAAACAAATTTCAAGCCCCAACAAC